CCCCCCCATGCCTCTCGTCCCTTCTCCTCCCTGCTTTGCCTTTCCCGCTGCCTCCTTGCCCCGCTGCCAGCAGACAGGGGCACGCCGGGGGGGTAAGTATGGCCTGGGACACTGGCTGGAAGCAGGGGAGGGGGCTGTGGGTGGGGATGAACTGCCTGAGCAGTATTGACACTTTGCATGGATACGCTCATTTTGTCATGGAGCCGGAGGAGCACAGAGGGGGCCATCTTTTGCCAATCCCAAGTGTTGCTCTGAGCGTTGGGGGATGTGCTTTCTCTTTCTGTCACTACTTTCCCAATCACCTGTACCCACTTAGGGAAGCAGCATTTGCCCCAGAGCAGGGGGGGAGGTGAGCTGGGCCTCATGGACGTCCCCTTGCCCCTGTGCACATTGGCCCCACGTGCCCGCTCGGAAGAACTTCAGGTCCCATTAGAGCAGAGTCCTCCTTTCTCCAGCAGGAGCAGATGTTGGAAAGGAAAGAGGAGCTCTGTTCATGGCCCTGTGGGGAAGGGGGGCGGAGGATTGAAGAGCCCACAGCTTCTTACCCCCGTCAGTCTAGAAACCGCTCTTTTAATTGCCATGATGCCATTGTTGCAGTGGTTTGGGGAATTTCTCACTCAGGGGGCGGCCTGAGGACTATCCAGAATACCCGCCATGGACGTGATGCTGCTCTATGGACTAGAGATGGGCGAGGGCACATTAGGAGCTTTTTCAGAGCCCATCAGCATTCACTGCTGCTGTATGTCTCTTCCTGCAGCAGTGCCCATGTGCATCTGCCCTGTTTTGCTCACAACCGTCTCACCTCCACCGGTGAGCACATTCCCTCTTTCAGTGTGTAAGCTGCTCATGGCAGCATTTCTTTTCTGTCGTATGTGACACTGAGAGCATCATTGGGACTCTCAGTTGGATAAATTGTGGCTTGTGGAAATAGCTGATTGCTGGTCCAAACCCTTCATTGACCCTGGGTCCGAGCAAGAAATACCTGTGGTCTCTTGGCAGACGAAGTTCAGCAGCGAGTCTGTCCAGCTCGTGGCTCTTCACCCACAGAGCCCAGCTCCAAGGGCAGCACTGAAAGTGGGAGCAGGGCCCAGGGTCACACAGAGCTGCAGGGTGAACGTTTCATTTGCTTCTCCTCTCTTTGGCTGGTGACCGCTGTGATCCTGGCTGCAGGGAGCGCCAGCCCTATCTGGAAAGACCAGATATGCCTCACTGGTGATGGGACTGGGACAGTAACGTGGGATATGGGACGTGGGAACCAGCTTCCTAAGGGGCAAAGAGAGTCAAGTCTTGAATTTCATCATCACGTGCTTCACGGTGGTGCAGGGGGCACCTCTTCTACAGACGCTGTGTTCGTAACACAGCATGGAGGCACCAGCTGATTTCAGTTGCCGACAGGATTTAAGTGGTTTGAGTTGTTAGAGACTTGGCTGGATTTTAGGAAGCATGGCCCCAAGGGAGGTGGAATCTCAGCCCTCTTCCCAGCCAAATGAGTGCTCCTTGTGGCAGGGTTTGTGGTGGCTGCAAGGTTCAAATGGAGTCTATGACACTTCACCAAACTCGTTTCCACTTTGAGCTTGGGATCTGGGATGAGGCAGAGCTGCATTCAGGCACTGCAGTGCCATCCATCCGCTGTTTTCTTATTCCTGATCTTCCAGCTTCTGCGAGTCTGGATGGCAAAAGTGGAATGAAAACCTAAGTGGTGAAAAAATGACCTTTTTCCTCATGGCTGTGGTTGGGCACGCTCCTCAGGTGAGAGGAGGCTGCTTGCCAAAGTGTTTAGTTTCCCTACTCATTCTTCTTTAGATGTTTGTGTGTCCCTGTTTGCCTGGACAGCATTGGTGTCTGTACAGAGGTGCGTGTGTCCATCAGGATGTCCTGGCACGTGCCCAGGGGTTCTGCTGTCTGCAGAAGTGGGCTGGTGAAGTGGCTTCCCACGGCAACCTCACCTTTACACAGCTGGTGTCGGCACAAGGAGGTAGCACTGGGGCTTGCAGCACTGTGTTTTCAGGGTGAGGAAAAGGATGGGGAGCTGGAGATCTGTCTAGTATGATCAGGTCTGTGGTAGCAGGAGTGATAAGGAAGGAGTGAAATTTGGAGTGATAAGGAAGGTGCAGTCCAGAATTGGACACAATATGATAAAAAGGCAAGGTGGCAGCAAGCTGGGATTGAAGAAAGCTCAAAACTTCTGTAATATTTGAGCACGTGAGCCATACAGTCAGAGATTGTACTGCAGCAGGTGGTTGAGGAAGGAGTTACTGTCTCTGAACATGAAGCCCCTTGAAGCTTTCATAAATGAATCACAAAGCCTGAGAGACCTTAAACTGCTTATGAAAACCAGGGTTTCTGTGCGGTCAGAATGCTGTTCTGGAGGGGCTTTCGTAAGCACGATGTGCTGCCGCCCTTTGTTCCTTCAGTGGCTCCGACACGCTCTGACCATGGAGCAGAGGAAGGGAGCGGGGTGTTTAGTCCGAACTGTGTTACTGTCTGAGCTGAGCTCTGGGGGTAGGTTCAAACCCCTGTGCTGCAGGGTGGGTTGCACAGGTGCCCCTGGGCACAGGATTTGTGATGGCAACATCAGCTGTAGGAACCATACATTCTCCTGTGGGATTGTGGGATTGCAATGTTTGTTGTCTGTAAAGAAAATGTCTTTTTCTTTGCAAGGGTATCGGAGCACAGTCCACACTCAGGGAGTAGATCTTCATTTGGAATGTTGCTTTCCTTTATCTAAACCTGACCCATGTGCAGATCAATTCAGTCACGTTAGGAGCTTGGTGGAAGTATGGAGGAACAGAATGGTTTACTTAAAACTAAAGTTGGCCTAAATGCAAAACTCAGGACTAAAAGATAAGCTTTGGAGGACGGCTGCAGCGCCTGCGTGCTGACCGAAATACCCAACACCTGAGCAGACCTGGAATCCACGGCAGGGTGTGGAGCTTTTGTCTCCTCTGGGCTGCATCTGCCCCCGGCTGTCACCAGCCAGGCTGTGGCTTCCCCCGCAGCCTGCCCAGGAGGAGGAATAGCCCATTGCCATGGGTTTGCTACAAACGCGCGCGTCACCGTCAGGGTAGAGACGCTGCAGGAGGTGAACTCGGTCACCAAGGGCTTCTCCAGCTGTTGGGGCTGAGTTTGTGTACTGTTTCGGTTACCAAGCAATCTTCTCCATCAGGGCACCTGATGTAAGTCCTGTGTGCTCACTGCTGAGATGGCATTTTAATATATGCGCATTACGATTCCAACGTGCTGTTTCTTTTACAGACTGAATTAAATCGTGGGCAAACAAAAGAGAGACACCGCCAAAATTACAGACTACCAATTCCACTGTAAGTAATCTCTGTTTTTTTTCCCTAGTGACTTATCCTGGATACGTGCACTGCCCTTTGCAGTGAACTCAACCTGAGCACAAGACTTGCTTTTCTGTTTGTTGTGTTTATTTTGCTTTTTTTTTTCCAATATATTTGAAAAACTTTTGCCTGGTGTGTCCTCCCAGTGCTGCAGAAGCATTATATGTTGCTGAGTCTTGTTACAAGAGTAACGTCAGGAGATCTACGACTGCTGCCCACAGTTGTAAATCCTGATCCATCATAAATCGCTTTGGCTGTCTAAGGTGGCATCTGCCCTTTTGTTTAAAGCTACGACTGGGATCTGGTTGCATGATCTCCAGGTAGCAGAATGCTTTGCCCATCACATGATCTGCTTTTATAAAGGCGAACTTGCTTTTTTTCTTTTTTTCTTTTTGGTAAGAGCTGCAGAACATTGTGAGTTACCGGTAAAAGGCATCTGGTTTCCCACAGATGTGTCTCTCCAGATTGATTCATCTGTAGATTAGAAAGGGGTAAATGCTGAACGTGGATTTTCCATTGACAGGACATTTTAGTGTCTGCCGGTAAGAAGGGAGCTGACCTGTCCCTCAGCAGAGCAGAAATATGTGCTTTGCTCGGTTCACTCACTTTCACAAAACTTGTCAGATTTTAAAAGATATTTAACATATGTCAAATATGTTGGTCATTGTTTAAATTTGGTTAAAGTTGGCCAAACGGCTTAAAATCTATTATGAGGAATAAACAGGCAGATTTTGGAGGAGCACCCCAGACATTCTCACATAAGCCTGTTACAGTTGGAATAGTATAGAAAAGGCAGAGTTGTAATAGCTTCCCCCTAATCACACTGGATCTCCATCTGGCTGGGACAGGACCAAACAGCAGAGAAAATCCTCCCATGTGCTTGAGTATTGCAAACAGCAGAGTTTTGCCACCAACAGAGTTATAAGGATCCACTGTAATGAGATGTTTCAGTGTCCTGGAAACAAAAGGCAAGTGACAGAAAGCCAAGCACTACAGTTTTCCACATGTCGCTTGAAAGGAATGAATTCTGGAGGCCAACCACAATGTAGAGAGAAAGGTCTGATGCCTTCAAATGTCTTTTCAGTGATGTTCCCACCTGGAGCTCGGGTGTCAGGTGCAGTCTGCAGCATTTCTCTTCCCAGTTATGGGGGGTTCTCAATCCCAAATCCAGTGGTAAACAGCTGGTTTGGGTGCGTGACAGCATATATGCAGGGACAGTCCCAGGCACAGAGGGACCAACCTAAGGCTTGACACTGGTTAGCTCTTCCTCAAAGCCTTTAGGAGGATTTAGGTGAGGTTTAGGATTGAGAGGGACCGTGTGCCTGGGCTGCTTTGCAGGAATTCATTTCAGCCGTAACAAGGTAATTCCAACTACTTACAATTGTGACTTTTCTAAAACAGCATTTCTAAGCATTTTTATCTCAGGCTTTAGAGTGAAGTTCTGGTCCCATTGAAATCAGAAGGAATTTTGTCACTGATTTCTTTGATCAGGGTGGCAGTCTTTGTTTCCGTCACTGCAAATGAAACGGGCATTTCTGTTCATGTTCGCTCCATTGCATTTCAAGTAAAACCCTAAGAAATTATGTTTGAATAGAAATAATAGCTGGAATCCCCAGTTTTAGTGCCTGTACTTTGGATTTGGCCACAGACATGCAATGTTAGCAGCTGGAATCCATGTGCCGTAAAACCCATGTGACTTTTTTCTTAAAGATTTGCTGATGTTGTGCCAATGCCATGCACTGCCTTGCCGTTGTTGTGCTGTTCTACAGAGAGAGCAGTGCAGAGTACATGCTAAGTGAAAGTGATACGCCAAAATAGCGGAGGCAGTTATACATGATGGAAAGAAGAAGCTACTCGGGTCATGAGAAGGAGATGAAAGTAAAAACAAAAGATGTGCCTCTTCTGAGAAAAAAGGGGAGAATTGGGAAAGTGTAATGCATAATCAAAGGCTGAAGTCTGAAGCTAAATTTTGACTGAGGTGAAGAGAACAGAAACTGGAATTAAAAAACAAAAGTAGGTTTTCACACTCACGTTAGTCCTGTTGCATTTCCAGACGGAGCCTGTAGGAAGCTGCCTGTGTGCAGAGGAGCTCTGGGGAGGGCTGACCCACGCCAGCCCCCTGGTCTCTGCCAGCTGGAGGGATGCATCAGGCAAAGAGAGAGCAGCAGGAACAAGTTCTTTCATCTGATGTAATTCAGTGAGACACTCCGTAGCTACTCTAGGTTGTATCTGAGCTGGGCAGAGCAGTGGTAGGCAGCTGCAACCAGCTTTTTGGAAGCTCTCGTTCCCTTCCTCTACCATGCCTCTAAGCTCATAGAGGAGAAACTCTCCTACAATTTGTAGCTGGGTCGACTGCGTTTTTTCTGCCACTTTTGTTTTTCACTGCCCAGTTTTCCTTGGAGAGGTATCAATCTGGACTAACTGCATCCAGCTAGGAGAATTATCTTTTGCCATTGCTATTCCAGGGACCATTTGCTGTAATGGAAAAAATATGTAGAAAGTAGCCTGAATTGCCCCAGAATGGTTGTGCTCTGCTGTAGGCAGCAGGTGTGCTTGTTTGTTGACCAATTCTTTAAATGCTAACTTTTGTGCAGAGTTCCTAACAAAATCAGCTGGGGCCCATGTGTTCATCAGGGAAGGCTGAGGATGGTCTGAACATTTGGAATGATACTGAATCATCTCAGGAAGCTTCCTCACAACCCTAATTACTATACACTTAGGAGTGAAGATGGAACCTATAGGAGAAAACACAGTATTAAAATGTTTTTATTGAGCTGGCAGTTCTTAAATGTGAGTGCTTGAGCTTGTGGGAGGCACTTTGCTCTTGCTGAAAAAGTCTCTGCTTAAATCCACTTCAACCAAGTTAATACGCTCTCTGTGTCATGAGTGAGACAAAGAACAGCATCTTGGGCAAAAATTAACATGATAATTCAGCTCTGCCATTGTCTCTGATCTTAAGTAGGTCTGGTGCTCTAAGTACAGTGCTCTGAGTCTAGCCCAGACCACGGTCGGTGTTAGTCAGCATCGAGGAGCCAGCACTCTCTCAAAAGGGGTTTCAAAATGTAATTAATTACTCCTCATAGCAATGAGCCCATAAGCATGAGGCACCTTTCTTAGCAAGCTGGGGCAAGTGCAGGTACTCTGCAGGTCCTGGGAGGGGAGGGGAACCTGTATTTGGGGAAAAGAAAGGTGAAGTTAAGGATAGGACTGATTTTTTGTACATTTATCTAAGATGTGTGTGTCACAGATGGCCAAGTAAACCACTAATCCAATCAGGAAGAGATGATATCTCAGAACAATCGGTCTCACTGAACTGAGACCTTAATGTGGGATGTGTTGCCCATGTTGAGTCCCCCCTTGGCATCTGCCTCTCTTGGTGATAGTATAGGGGGTTGTGTCTGAGGACTTGAACCCTGACTTTTGGCCATCTAAGTTTAAGTGAAATCAATCCTGTCTGAAAAATAAACAGTTTTTAATGAGTTTTGTAAAGTCTAGTTAGTCATGATGCATCCTAGGGTGTTACCATATCTTTAAACTCTGCTAAATTAAACTAAATTACCTTACACGCCACGTCTCTCTTTTCTCATTGAATGTGGAGTGTCCACAGAGTTGTAGGAATGAATAAGGAGTAGGTAAACCTTGGAGGACTTCCGTGCTGAATGCAACCAACCTCCTCTGCTGGCTCTTCACTGTTGCTCCTCATGATGAAGTTGAGCCATCGTGCAGCTAAAATCTCAGTCCCCTGTGCTTCTCTGTTTTTCTAGGTTTGCACTTCAGCCCCATTCCTGCACCCTCTCCCTGCATGGGGCAGGATCAGAGCATCAGGACTTTGAGCAATATCCCATAATTAAACCAATGCAATTCTGTCATAGCAAGGCAATGCACCCTAAGGCAGATAATAGCTTCGTAAAGGAGGAAGACAGTTCCCTTCTCATTGTAAATTACATGTATCCATCTGCTTCACTTAAAAAGCACCATCCTTCTTTTCCTTAGGAGTATCCCACCCATCTTCTGTTCCATCTCTTGGTGATCCTGGCTTATTTCAGTGGAATCAGAATATTTCCTCTCCTCGTGTCTTATTAATATCTGTATTTGCTGACAGGGGTGGTAGGTTTAATAGAGCCTCCCATTCAAATTCATTGTAAGAAGGGTTCCCCTTTATAGACAGCCAATTTCAACATGAAATACATGCATGCTATAGAAGTTGGATTTGCACCATTGTTTGGTAACAAAAGGCAGGAAATTAAAGAGGCAACATTTCAGTCAAATAGTGTGTGTATGCTTTCTCCTTACCTGCTATTGTTGTAAATGACACTGAAGATTATCGCAAGCTTAAAGCAGATTTTATGCAGAAAAGATTTGCTTTTATTTGTTAGGAATGTATGTGCTACATTAGGCAGTGCTTTGTATTTAGTCAGCTTTACTGTGTGTTTGGAAGGGAAATATAATTATAAAAATTGTAAAACCATGAATGTTTGCAGGAGATTAGAAGGAATTCAAGTTTGAAACCGTTTTAATACATTTTTCAAAGCTGTGTTTCAAGTTACTGTCTTTGGTTACTGTTAGAGAGCCAGGTTATGTGTGCATTAAACTGAGCAAGAGTCCCTGAGGTTTGATTTAGTATAATTTATGTTTAGATTACCATTAAAAGTAATGTCTCATGAATGGTAGACATTCAATCAGTTATTCTGAATTACTTTTGTGCAAAATATTTACTGTTATCCTCTATAAAAGCAGCAGCATTTAATTACTTAAATACAAATGCTAAAGTAATTTTTTTCTATTTGTTTTCTTTTGGATGTAATTACAGAAATGTGGGAAATACTTTTCCAAGGCTTTTGAACTCAAAAGTGGAACAGAAGGAAGACACAGGGGGACATACACCGTTCAGTGTTATTTTCCTTACACAGGAAAAAAAGATCATTATGAGATGAGCACTAAAGTCTCAAGTTTTCAAAGGTTTGCATAACAAACAAGAGACACATTGTGGGTTGCATCTTGACTTTGAAGGCTTGCCACTGTCAACTGAAATAAAATGGCAAGGTTTAAAGCCTTAACCAAGTTCACAAGGAAAATATTTGGACTAAAAGTTTTGGAAAGTTTTCTCTCTTTGAAGTAGTTTGTCATGTGTTACCAATGTGAACTTTATTGACCTTGAAACATTTTTTTTTTTTGAATCAAATAGCAACTAGTGACACTTTAGTAAAATCTTAAATCAACAACCATCTCCTGGCGGCTCCAGCTTCGTAGCAAATGCAGGCAAAACAGGGAATCTACAGAAGAGACCTTTATTATTCGTAAATGAAGCCTGCCAAAACCTTCCCGAAATAGCATTCAAAGACCCTTTTAAGGTCATGGATCCTGAACAAAGTCAGAAGAGCACAAAAAAGGCTGAGGAAAGTCCAAGAAAGAGGCTTCCCAAAGGAGAGGCTTTCCAAGCCAGTATTTCATCCGCAGCTACGTACCAGGGCAGCTCTGCTTCTTCACAAGGAACCCCTCTCCGAGATATCATATCGCAGCAGCACTTTTCTGGTTCTTTGCCGATTCCAAGAGAGGAGTCTCAGGAGAAGACTGGACATCAGAAGCAACCTAAGCCTTCCTCTTTTGAACATCCTCCCCACGTTTCGCAGCTTCAGCAGCATGCACTGTCACCAGCATTTATGTCTCCGGGGAAACCAGAGCATGTCCTTGAAGGTCCCACATGGCAGCTAGTTGATCCAGTAAGACCAGGTCCCTCTGGCTCCTTTTCATCACCCGGGCTTCACTCTCACCACAGCCAGCTCTTACCTTCCCATTCACCAATCATTCCTGGAGAGGACATGCCGTCCGTTCAAAAGGTCTATATCCCTCGCCCTTCGCAGGTTTCCTTAAAACAAGCCGAGGAAGTGCACAAGAAGGAAAAGAAACCTCAGAAGCCAGGCAAATATATTTGCCAGTACTGCAGCAGGCCTTGTGCAAAGCCAAGTGTGCTCCAAAAACATATCAGGTCACACACGGGTGAGAGGCCATACCCTTGCATTCCATGTGGCTTTTCTTTTAAGACTAAGAGCAATTTGTATAAACATAGGAAGTCTCATGCTCATCGAATAAAAGCTGGGCTGGCCTCAGGGATCGGAGCGGAGATGTATCCATCGAGCTTGGAAATGGAAAGGATTGGTGGGGAGGACTTTGAAGAGCCAACAGAAGGAGAAAGCACAGATTCGGAGGAGGAAACGGGTGCAATGTCAGGCCATTCAGTAGAGCTCTCACCCAGGCAGAAGCACACCCTGTTGTCCAGTAGTTTGCTGAGTGGAGGGAGCCAAGGCTCCAGCCACGACCGGTGTTCATTATCTCATTCCAGTATGTCTCAGTCTCTTGAGGACAGCACCCAGTTTGTGGAGCCATCCTCAGACCATGCTCTGAGCCATAAATCTGAAGATACCCACACTATAAAGCAGAAGCTTGCACTCCGCTTAAGTGAACGGAAGAAGGTCATAGATGAACAGGCTTTCCTGAGCCCCGGGAGCAAAGGGAGTACCGAGTCAGGCTACTTCTCGAGATCGGAAAGTGCAGAGCAGCAGATCAGCCCACCAAATACTAATGCAAAATCTTATGCAGAAATTATTTTTGGGAAATGTGGTAGAATTGGGCAAAGGACTGCAGCGTTAGCTGCAAACACAACCCAGGGGTTTCCACACCTGTCTACCGAAGAGAAACCTAGCATGGTACCATTATCTGTGCCTAGAACACAGGTTATTGAACACATCACTAAGCTAATTACAATTAATGAAGCTGTTGTAGATACCAGTGAAATAGATAGTGTTAAACCTAGAAGAAGCTCTTTATCTAGACGTAGCAGCATTGAATCTCCAAAGTCTGGTGTATATAGAGAACCGTTTCAGTTTGATATCAAGTCTGGTTCCAGTAGCCAGTTGGATGCATCGAAAGTGTTGACATCCCACAGTGAAAAAATTAAGCCCGAACAATCATTGTTGTCACTTCAGCAATCCCACAGTGCCACAGAGACAGTGCCTCTCCTAAGAAGCCACTCAATGCCTTCTGCTGCATGCACTATAAGCTCCCCACATACCTTTAGAGGTAGCTATTCATTCGATGATCACATCATGGAGCCTGAAGTCTTAAGCCGCAGTCAAGCTTTTTCTTCCCATCCTCGAATGCTAAAACGACAACCAGCTATTGAGCTACCTTTGGGAGTAGAATACGTCTCGGAGGAGGTTAGTTCTGCAAACAAAGAAACTGTTTCCAAACCTCCCGAGGAGCCTGAAACCAAGGAAAGCGATCTTACCAAAAAGTCACGGAAGGGTCCGAAAGTTAAAGGGTTCATGTATGAGTGTAACATATGTGGTGCTCGGTATAAGAAAAGGGACAATTATGAAGCCCATAAGAAATACTACTGTTCAGAACTGCAGCTCTCAAAGCCTCGTTCTTCCACTTCCCATTCCTCTTCAGAGACTGAGAAAAGCGCTGCAGATCCTGACACGTGGCCCCAGATGATGCATTACAAGCTTGGGAGCAGTTTGGAGCTCACCCCGCTCCGAAAAAGACGAAAGGAAAAGAGTCTTGGTGATGACGAGGAGCCTCCAGCTTTCGAGCTGTCTGACACTCCTTCCTCCAGTACTGGGCCTGGGACTCAGTTTGCAAACCCGACCTCATCTGATGTGGCTTTAAACCTAACCCGTGAATCCATTAAGTCACCAGCAGATCCGGGTAAATCCACACCTTCTGATGTCAGTGGCAGCTTTCATTCCAGGAATACCAAACCGGCTTCGAGTGCAGAGGGCAAAGAGAGAAGAACAACCTCAAAGGAGATCTCTGTCATCCAGCATACGAGCTCTTTTGAGAAGTCTGACTCTATTGAGCAGCCGAGCAGCTTGGAAGGAGAAGACAAACCCCTGTCACAGTACTCATCTCAGCCGACACCCCAGCACAGCCGACCGCCTCACTCCCTGCAGCCCAAGCTGGTACGGCAGCCCAACATCCAGGTCCCAGAGATTCTGGTCACTGAAGAGCCTGACAGACCAGAAACAGAGCCAGAGCCTCCTCCGAAAGAGCCAGAGAAAACAGAAGAATTTCAGTGGCCGCAGAGGAGCCAGACCCTTTCTCAGCTGCCTGCAGAAAAACTCCCACCAAAAAAGAAGAGGCTGCGGCTGGCAGAAATGGCTCAGTCATCTGGAGAGTCCAGTTTTGAATCAGTCTCTCTCACCCGAAGCCCAAGTCAGGAAAGCAGCATATCCCACGGCTCCAGTCACTCTGTCTCGTTTGATCGTGAAGATCACAGCAAGTCAGAGTCAACTAGCCAGCCCTCTGAATCCCACCCAAAGCCTCCTGGCGTTGGCTCACATATGTTGATGGTACCAAGCCACCATCATCATTCCAGGGAAATGCGGAGATCTGCTTCTGAGCAGACACCGAATGTGTCCCATCCTTCCCAGATGTCAGAGACCCGCAGTAAATCATTCGACTACGGGAGCTTGTCCTCGGCTCCTGCCTCAACGCCCGGCCCCTCAGCCTCCTCAGCTCCCCAGGAGAGAAGAAAATGCTTTCTAGTTAGGCAAGCATCCCTCACTAGACACCCGGAGCACGAGCCCGACTCGGCTCCAACAGGCCGGCCAGAGACAGAAGATCCAATTCCTATTTCAAGTAAATCTCCTTCAACAAGTTTGCCCCATCAGCCGACATCTTCATCCCCTTTGCCCTCTCATGGTACTTACCCAAGTGAAAAGAGTCAGCCAAAAGACAGCCCTCAGCCATCATACACCCAGCCATACACGGAAGCTCTGCAAGTGTTTCACCATCCTGTACCACAGCTCACGCTGCATGAAAAGCAGTTCATGTCCCCGCAAGTTTCTATCTTTCCCTACCAACATCTCCTGCCGCAGCCAGGGCAGTCTGCAGAGCTCTTTGCCACACACACTATGTCCGATATCCTCTCTGCTCAGTTCACCATGCCTCCGATTCCTCCTTCCATATTTCAGACCCCACCACTGCCTTTACCACAAACCCTCATCCACCCAGGCCCGCTTCATATTGCTCCTCCATTAATGTCTCACCCTGCCGAGGTGCCGTTCAGGCAGCATCCTTCATTCCTGCCAGTGCATTACCCTGGCTCTTCACCAATCCCTTCAGCCTTTTTTCTGCCTCTTCAGTCTCAGTTTGCGCTCCAGTTGCCAGGTGAAGCTGGTGGACATTTACCGCAGATCAAATCCAGTTTATTCCCAGCAGCAGGAACCTCCAGTCTTTCCCCATGCACAGAGTATGGCTCGGACAGTAGGTTGCATCCTCTGACCTGCACAAGTCCATCAGTGTCTGTATCCACATCTCAGCTCGTTGTTCCCATGCGGTCAGACCCGATGGTGTCGCTTGTTGTCCCCGTTCGCATACAGACAAATATGCCGTCCTATGGGAGCGCGATGTACACGACGCTTTCCCAGATTCTGGTCACTCAATCCCAGTGCAGTTCCTCTTCTATCGTTCTCCCAAAATTTGATGATCGCCAACCCAAGGGTACCCTGGTCTGTAGCGCTGATGTTCATGGACTAGGTTTCGATCTGGCACAGATGATCACAGAGGATCAGAGAAGCATTTTCCAGAGCCCGTATCTGAGAGTGCCCTTACCCTTACCAGAACGAAAAGGCTATATGCCACTCACCTCCCCATCAGACAGTGTCCTTGGAGTGGAAGGAGGCCCATCAACAGTTGGTGGAAGCAAAAGGATGCTTTCTCCAGCTGGTAGTTTGGAGCTGACAATGGAAACGCAACAGCAGAAGAGAGTGAAAGAGGAGGAAGTGTCTGAAGCAGAAGAGAAGTTGGAAGTAGTGAAGCCACCCAGTGCAATAGAGGAAGGGAAAAAGCAGGATAAATCTCACTTTCTTGCAGAAAGCCAAGGCAGGGTAGAGGTTGAAACACCACCTAGTTTGTCCTCAGAGCAGTCAGAGCCAAAGGAAATCCCAAGTACTTTGCAGCAAGCTGTGTCCCATTCAGGTTCTCCAAGTTTTGAGACACTGGAAGAGTACAAGCAGCCAGCTGGCAAGCAGTTCCTCAGCAAGGCACCTTTGCAACCCGTGAAGAAAGAAGACTCCAAAGAACTGGTGGAGCAGTCTCCACCAAACCCTCCAAGCCCTGCACCTCTGTCTGAGGTCACTCATAGTGCAATGAAGTCTCGAGAAGGTACAGATATGAAGAAGGTACTTCAGTTCCCCAGTCTCCACACAACCACTAATGTCAGTTGGTGCTATTTAAACTACATAAAGCCAAATCATATCCAGCAAGTTGATCGACGGTCTTCAGTGTATGCCAGCTGGTGTATTAGCTTGTATAATCCTAACCTTCCAGGTATATCCACTAAAGCAGCCCTTTCCCTCCTGAGGTCCAAGCAGAAGGTGAGCAAGGAAACCTACACCATGGCTACTGCTCCACGTCCAGAGGCAGGCAGGCTTGTCCCGTCCAGCTCCAGGAAGCCAAAAATGACAGAGGTAATGCAATCCTATATATTTCTCCTCATCCATTTGGATACATGGGAAGAGGGGGATGAGGGATGGGGAATTGCCATTCTTAGTTTAATAGGAGTTTGTTCATCCCTCTCTCAGTTTGGTAAGCACTTGTTATCGGTGAAACTTTTAGAATGAAAAAGCTAAACCCCACTGTAATTAAAAAAAAAAAAAAAAGGCAAGCCTGCTCCAAGGCAATGTGCCATATTTCTGTTCTCCAGTTTCTACTTGCCTTGTAATCAAAAGAGCATGTAGGAGTCACCACCGCACCATGAACTGCCACTGTTCAAGCACACTTGATTTGCATTTGTCTTGATATTTCAAATAGCTTTACAATTTTTTTTTTTTTAATGCTGTTATAATTCTCTACATTTTGCATGTTATAAATGAAAAAGGATTACCTTGGGGAAATGGGATTCTGTCTGGTTGTGCATCTGCTGATCTCACATTAATGAACATGGAGAGGCATGCTTAAAAGTACTTAAAAATATTAAAGGGAGATTTGCAAGTGTATTTAGGCCCCCAAAGAAGCGTAAAGGCATGCAGTGACATTTATAAAAGTGCCTCAGTAGGTTAGACACGGAGTCTTGTTAAAACACCCGTGTTGTTTGGTCCATTTAGTTAATGCCCTTAGCTGTCTATCTGCCTTTCCAGGTATCTAAGGATATTTTATACCTGGTCTTTAGAGCTCAGGGGAGCAAGGCAGACGGCTTCATAGGGACAGAGCTCACCAAAGCCATTGGCCTTATGGGCACACAAGTCTTTAAGACAGTTCTGGTAGCTGCCTGGTGTTACGTATCTCATTTTGAGGCCAGACTTTTCCCCTCTTGGTTAATGGTGAACCATACAGATCCCTTTAATCCAGATCATGTTCATGTAGATTAGCAAACAGAATTGCTCTAAAGATTTTGCAATTTGATATTCATCTCGAGTCAATTTATATTGACGGATTATTCATTTTATTTCTGTATCATGAAATGAACTCTGAATATTAAATTTATCATAATCGCTGCTGCAGCTGCTGCTTATAAATATGTCTTAAAATACACAGCAGAGTCACTTTGATTCAATAAGTCTTTATTTCTATTCAGCATTTCCATCATTCTTCTGCAGAAACCCAAAAGACTGACTTTCTAGGGACGTAGGAGCAGATAATTACCTGTGCAGTGCAATAACCATGCTAATGCTTGGTATTTATTCACTCTTTTGGAAAGGATTTTATCTGAACGGTGTCGTACCATCCTTGATTTCATTCTCTAATAGAAGTGCCTGTGCTCCTCTGAGCTTTGCTCTTTGACGTGGTGCTAAAATGCACACCAAGTGTGTATTTCAGAAATACGAGACCCTCATACCCTCAAGTTAAAGGTTAAGCTCTAGACAGGAATGGTTCAGCCCTTAGTCATCAAAATACATATTTCACTGCATGCATTTGCTCAAAAGACTTAAACACCTTTTAGACAAAACCCTATAAGCTGTCTCGTGGTGAAAGTTAAGGTTTTCATGGTACAGTTTGCAAAAGTAAGAGTTTGTCCTGCCAAATTTACCTAGAAAATGGTGTAGCCTAAATCTTATATTAATACCTGCTGCTTAAAGGAGTGCAGTTTGCAGAAATTAACTTAATTTCAATGGAGATAAATTGACCTCATGCCAAGCAGAGAAATAATTCTTGATTAGATGATCAGTGGGAGTGAAATCCTCAGTTTAGTTTTTAAAATGCGTATGACTGGCACAGATTAGGAAGAAGCGTTGCTGGTTACTCAGGAAGATGTGGTTAACAGGAGCTGCATAGCAGCAGCATCAATCAAAGGTTGAAAGTTCAACTTTCAGTTAACTCTGCTCTAGCTATTTCCCTTCAACATTTTCTTCTTTCTGTAACTGTCAGTCAACACAACAGAAAATGTAAAAGAGCTCTAATATTTTGTACCATTATGCATGCAGCAAGCTACTAGCAAGCAGTAGTACTGTATATACTGTCTACGTACTTGGCTTGGTTTTTAAATTACCAGTGGGATTTACTGAGCAGGTCAATTCTGAAGTGACCGTAGGCTCCAGTGTGCATGTAGGGATGGCTGATTACACTGTATCGGGCTTGCAGACTTTGTAAATTAAATGAGATTGTAAAAGGGGATAGTGGTGACTGTATGATTTTGGCTCTCTTTGGTGCCTTTCATCTGTCTATGTTTTTGTGCTTTCAAAAGTTGCAATAAATAAACCTCATGCTACATCTAGAAAGTCAATTGTTTTGTATTCCTCAGCAAATGAGTAACTGAACTGGGAAGGTTATCGCTAGCATTGTTATGAGCATGTAGCTCCTATCAGGAGGTGAAGTCATAAAGGCCAAGGTTTAATTTTTGAAGGTGTTCAGTGTGTCTCCTGCCACTGATTTCCTCCAAGCACAGACATCTCCATGCCCAGAGACACCGGCTTGAGACCATTTCTGCTGTTAAATTGTTAAAATGGTTCCTGGCACTGTTCTGTCCTGGGCTGATAGCCCTCTCCCAGGCAATTCCTGGGCACGTTTAGGGAGATAGGACAGCACAGGGACCATTCCTAGGAGGCATCTAGGAAGGGTATGTAGGTCTGTCTGATGGGGTGGACATGGGCTAATCTGTGTGAGCTGGCCCCAAGGGCAAAGAGCAATCCCAGATGCATTTAATGCTCTAAGCCGAGCTCCTGAAATTACTGGGCAAATTTCAAATGGTTGACCTCGGTTTTGCAAAGCTACGTTTTAGTGAGTCCATCCCTCCTCCTGCTGAGAATCTGATGGCCATACCAGCTGCACACTGCTGTGAATCCTGGGTTATATCCCGCTGAATTTTGCATGTCTCGGTTTGAGCTAGTCATTCTTTGGTTTCCGGTATAACCATGGGAGACAAAGAGGCACCTCTTGGGTGATTCATCCCCCCTTTAAGATAAGTGTCTAAGGTAGGGCAGATGAATCACCCTTGAGAGCTGCCACTCTTTCCAGCAACTGTAAAGAGTCAAGGGTGACCAGCTCTGCTTTAGACTTCTGCCAGGTCGTTCAGGCCAAAATCCCTCTAATAACCTGGTCTCTCAAATGCCTTCAGTCTATTTTCATAAATTGTATATAAAGTGAGGATATGGGTAATTCAGTTGAACTTCAAAGATATTCTTGCACTCGTGTAAAAAGTAACGTGGGTGAAAGGCAATCTGCTTTCCTCTCTCAGAGCTCTGGAGGCCCCTCTTATTTGTTAGGTTGTAGGGGGGGCAACATCCCAAGATTTCATTCCGGGTGTGGAGACCTCCCCTTGCATCGTACAGAGCTAGAGAGGCAACTGTAACGTTTGGGTCCAGAGACTATAACAAATAACATTAACCATGCTAGATGAGGTGTCACTGCATGACTTCAACTTTGGTCTAAACAAGGGGTGGCAAGCTTAAGAGTGAAAAAGCAAATTTTACCCTGGGAACATCTGGGGAGGTTGAGGATTATTTTCTCCCATTGGTTTTGTGGCTTTCTCTGTACTGCGCCCTTGGCAACAGGATTTCGGTGAAAGGAAATCACCCGAGAGCTTTGACTTTCAAGTGATTTATATCCAGTTTAGATGGCTAAAGTCCAAATTTGTGTGAATGTGTGTGTATGTGGGGCAAACCCAAAGGTTAAGGTTAAATATATGAATTTTGCAGATGCCTCCTCTTGAGACCTTTGTAGATGTATGTATTAGAGAGAGGATTATCCGAGGACAGAGCAGTGGATTTGGGAACAGAGACCCATGGCTCCACCACACGCTCAGAGTGACCCCAGCCCAGATGCTTCTCTTTATGCCTCAGTTTTCCAGTTGGCAAGAGCTGGATAATACTGAGCCACCATATGCAGGGGGTGATTTAAAAAACTTGTAAGCGGTCACAGTAAATATAACATAACCAGCAGGGCTCAAAATCCAGAAGCAGAAGCCCTGTTTGTTAAGATGTCCTAATTACTGCACTTAGCTGTCAGGAGCAGCATGTGTGGTAGGTTTCTGGCTCTTTCTGAGGCTGTTTGGTCTGTGTGTCTTAGAGTGATTTTGTATGTAATCATTGATTATTTTGCTCTTTTGGGGAGATAGGTTCATTTGCCTTCGCTCCTTTCTAATGAAGGTCGAAAAGATATAACTAGAGCTGAGAAGGAAGAGGATAAAAGAGGAAAAACAGAAGAAGAGGCTCTTGTAACCAAAAGAGGGGAGCCAGTCAGGATCAAGATCTTTGAAGGAGGGTAAGTGTTTCATTTTATTTCTCTTTTTGTCTCACAGTTGTATAGGAGTTACTGATAACAGTGATGGCAAGTCAGTGAAGGTGCCATGTGGAGGTGAGCAGAAGGCCAGATATAGTTGGATTTCAGCTTACTTTCTACAGCTACTGTAAAAACCTGGCTCTCAAGATCAGTAGATACTCCAGACTACATTAATTTTCTTTTTTTTTTTTTTTTTTTTTTTTTTTTTTTTTTTTGACTTGTCTTCAAGTTAGCAAGCACCTTGATCTCTTTTCTGAGTGTGTAGTTGAGTGAAGATGGCTGAAGAGCATACATATATCTTGTAGGTGTCTCTGATGTGACGGAGGTGTATTCCATATCTTCTAAATCTTTCCAGAGCCTTCTCCTGAAAATCGTGTTCCTAACGGTAGTTATTATAATAAGGAGGATGTGAGGAGGTCTGTTCTGATGCCTGGGGTTTGGGTGGGAGAGAAAAGAAGAATTACATGTATTTGACTTTGATCCCACCCAACCAAAGTAGCTCAAACCAGAATGGATGCAAGATCTAAATTTATATCTTAACTCTCAGCTCCAGGTAATTCAGAGTACTCTTCAGTAATTCAGCACTGGTCTTATACTTCTGTGTATCTTTTTTTTACAAAAAAAAAAATCAGCCAATAAGTAATGTGTCTGTGGGATACAGTTAAAGATCATCCTTCCTGTGTGTTGCAGAGGGGGCTAAAGAGATGTAAGAAATCCCTAGCAGGATTCATCAGTTCTTCTTTTGCCATTGGGTGGTCTTGTTTTTTGTGTGTTAGAAAAAGGCTTTAATTAGTCAGTGGTTGTGGTTTTCTGCTGTTACCAGTTGAAGTTTGCTTTTATTTTAAAATATTTCATTAGCAGATGATCAAACTAGCTAACCAGAAGAGTAAAATAGTGCTTTGGGAAAGAAAACCTGCTTGTTTGTTCGGGAGAACTCACCTCTCACCCAGACGTAGGCACTATGTGCCCAGCTCAGGTTTAGATACGTGTCGGCAGTGGGTGGTGAATGCAAAGAGCTGAAGTAGTGGCAACCTGTAACGCTTATGACCTGAAGTGATTTAGGGAAGGAGCCAGGGAATGGCAAGAAAGCAACAGACTGAGAAATACAATGGGCTCGGTATGTTGCCATCACCCTCCCGTAGCAGATAGGACCCACGGGACTAACTGAGCGCCGGATTTTATTGCCTCAAAGCACATAACAAACCTCTGTTGCCCTTGACTGGGTTGTCCTGGAGCTGTGGCCGTTTCAGGGGGACTCTTGGACTCCTTTGTAAACATGATTAAAGATGCCCGGTGTTAACGTGGATGAAGTTGATCCTACCCCTCGTAGGGCACCTCTGGGGAGGATTTTTGGGGAGAGATGCGGAGGTGCTCGGTGCTCGCTGCTCCCGACTGCCACCACCAAGACGAGCCACCTCTCCCCGTCCCTGCGTTCGCACAGGGAGGCTGTCTGCCTTCCCGAGCCCAGCACAACGGATGCGGAGTCACATTTTCTAAACGACAGACACAAAATAAAGCAACTTTTCCAAAATGTTCTGTGTACGCCAGCATTAGGGAACGTATTAGTCATCCTGAACGTATGCTATGTTTTATTTTAAAGTTCCTGTAGCACTGACTTAAGGCAGCCGTCCTTCTGGATGTAAGACAGAATATAGTAGCTGTTTAATGCCAAGCACAGGCACTAATGTAACACACCAGGTCGCAGAAATAAATTTTATACCTAAATTACATGGCATATGCACTGCTAAGAGGCTGGGCAGGAGAGGCTGTTCTCCTGAGGTGCTCAGTGCATACCTGGCGGTCCGTGCGGAGTTCCCGCAAGGTTTCTGATGTTGAATTGTTCAGCCTCAGCAGCTTGTGTCTGCAAGGATATTTTCTCACAGTGAAGGAACGAGTCTGCACATGAATCTGCAGGGTGCCTAGTGCTTTGTGCAAGATACTAAATGGATCAAACCCCTTTCCTGTCCATCTCTTGAAAATGTTTTACAAAAAGTGCATCCATTCTCAAGACATTATTTCACCGTCTTTTTTTTTTTTTTTTCCCCCCATAAAAATTTTCTCCTTGTCTCATTTTTCCCCTTATTTATTGGTTTCACATGGTCTGCTGCTGGCTAGACCCATCCTTCCAGTTGGGATGCAGTTGGTTTCAAATCTTTTGGAGCCATCCCACGCTTTGTTGTCTCAAACAAGAAGGGAGATTATAAAGAACTCCAACTGTTCCAACAAAAGGTGAACTTGCTGCAGCTCTTTTAGCTCCTTCTTCCCCTCAGTTTTTATTTCTTTAGAGTTCTTGCCTTTTTCAGTGCCATTTTCAACACTTGCTTTTCCCTCTGTACAGTCTTCTGGCTTCCTCAGTCCCATAGCTGCCTTTCCCCCATTGCTGCATTGCTTATAGCACTGCCACGACCACCTCTGCTACCTTCCCTGCTGCTGTCCAGCCTGCTGGATAGAATCATATTTCCTGGCTTTCTGGGAAGACCAGAAAAGCCAGATTTCATATTTTCATCATACCCACTGCCCATTTTTAAGGAATGAACCGATGAACCTGCTCTCAGAATGTTTGGAGCAGCTTGGCTTCCCTTGCAGAGTCTCATTTGAAGATGTCTCCTCCCTAGCTATGAAATTAGATGGTTGATTTGCTTGTATTTACCCACTGGGAAAAGTGTTTTGGAAACAGCAGCTTGCAGATTCCTTGAGCGTTGAGGTATGTTCTTACCTAAGTTTAGGATCAAGGCTCGGTAATGCCATGCATGGAGTTTGCTCAGGCTCAGTTTCTTCCCTCATCACTCTTTCCATGAAGGATGTCAATTGGCCCCTGTGGTGCCATCTCAGGATGTGGAGTAGTAGCCACCGGGGGTATCACGAGGACCTGGGTGGTGGAGGTGTTCCGCTCTGGTCGAGTTACCCAGCCATTTCAGCATCTACCTCCCTTGGCCTCCTGTGAAGAAGAGGACCTGTAGTCCCTTGTATTGTGTCTCTTGGTTTCTTGGGGACCACAGTAGGGAACTGTGTGGTCCTGCCTTAACTTTTCCACAGTAGACAGGATCCACCAAGTTTTCTGTTTGGCTCCTGTTTAAAGAACAAATTCATCTTAGAGAGCAAGTCTTAAGATCACTCCATATGTAGTTTCAGAAGTGGCTTTTTACTTGCAATCCTGAAATTTTGTAAGACTGGGTATACCTCCATTGCAACCAGTGTTCACCCCATTCCCCACAACCACACCCTCTGCGGTTGACTGTGAACAAGGTGGGAGTCAGTTAACATCCCCCACACAGGCTGGGCGTTGCACAGTCTCGTTAGGTTGTGTCTGGGAGAACCATGCCATTAAACAGCCAGGTCAATGTTTGCACTCCTGAAGGAGATAATAAAAATATTCACTGAACTTGTTCTGAGGGATATTGTGATGGTTTTGAGAAGTGAAAATGATCTTTGAAGGTCAAGCTGGCCAGCATTGCTTCAGGAGAAGTGCAGAAGTGCCGTGATTCCTTGGTGGCTCCATGTCACCTTCATCAATCCACTCTGGTACTTTGGAGGCACCGGGCCCATTCTGAAATCTTACATCATGAAACTGTAGATTGGTATTGACCTGATTTGAGACTGAGGTCCATGATGGTATCATGGTCTTGTCAGGAAAATGTTGCCTGTTTACTGTGCATTAGCATGACCGTGATGAAATCTGATAGTGGTGGGGTAGCTACAGTCAATATGTGTTCTTCTGTTTCATAGCCAAACTCTCTTTTATGGGGCCCATCAGCTGGTGTATTGCACTAGCTGGTTGCAACTAATAGGGAAAATGATACCAAGATATAGAAGGTTAAAGACCACTAACCTTAACTGACATCCCCAAACCAGTGTCATGTAAAATGAAAACTACATCAAAATGAAGGCTCTGTTTTGAAAACAGTTCTATTTTTTTCCCTCTTTAGGGAAAAAAAACCCTTATGGCTGAAGCCTTATGGTTGCAGACCTGAGTACCCCTTGCATTCACACCTTAAAAAATACCTCCCCTTCACACCATCCCATGTGTACAAATCCACACAGGAGCAAGAAGAACCCATGGTGATGTAACATAGTGTATCTTTTAACTTTAAGACTGATGCTCATAGTGCTGCTGTGACCCAGGCTGCTGTAGTCATCGGTTTAGTCTGACTCCGATATGAATCCAAGTCCTTCACTCTTTGTCCTCCCCAGTAACAGAGACTTGCAGGTTCACCAGCCATGGGATCTTCTGAACTGGGGTCCTGAACTCCCTCCTTAAGTCACTGCTCCCTTGAGCCTGGGCAAAGCCCCTTCTGCCTAGTACAGTACAAGTAACTGGGGGATTGTACAAGATTTGACCATTGCATTACCTAGAGAGCTCCAGGGCTGGAGGGGTCGAGGCTGCTGTGCTGCCCTTTGTCTCCGTGCTATGGGGCTGCCTGTGGGATTTTAGGCAGGCAGGAAGGCAGTGGAGCTGTACATCTGCCTCGCTTAGCCTGCCTAGTGAGAGACTTTCCCCTGGGTTGAAGGAAAATGGAGAAGCCTTTGGACTGTTTTATCAGACTCGAACATGACTGCTAATTAGTGGATGCATAAAGGAAAAAACAAAACCCAACCTTTTGGGGGACCCATTAGCTGTGTGCAAAGCTCCCTTCCCCCAGCTCTCCTCCCATTTCTTACCATTGTGGACTCACTGGGATCTGTGGTCAGCTTCTCCGTGGTGATCTCACTCCATTTCTATGACCGGCCACAGAAACTGCAGCTCCCACCACCCGCTGACACACACCTAATGGAAAATCCCTGGCACAGCAATGTGAGAGTTTTATTACCCTAGAGAAAGCCTCTCTGTTAAACAAGCAAAGTTTCTCAGCGTGTAACTCCAAACCCCTGCATTGGACCCGGGTCGCTCAGGGGATTTCCTTTGCTGCTTAGATGAGTTCTAAGAATTCACCATGTTTATTTTGAAAGGAGTTATTTATCCCAAAGACACTAAGTTGAGCACA